CCCCCCCCCCCCCCCCCCCCCCCCCCCCCCTACGTTTGTGTCTCGACGTGTTCTACGACATCGTCCTCGCCTCTATGGGCGGCTCCGACGAGAGCAGAGGCTGCAGGAGGAGTTGGAGGAGGTGACTAAATCGAGAGGGAATGATGATCGCCGCGGCAACGGAAATGGTAGCTGGGATGCCCGCGCCGACGGCGGGTGGGCAGGTGAGCTGCTAACGCTGACGCTTGCTTTACCGAAGAACTGGTACATAGGCGTACATGCTTTCAGGTACAATTTGTAGTCGCAAGACTCTTGTTTTTAGGCCGTGTTGTTAGTAAGAGCTGATACAACAGCTTTACAAAGTAGGTACACATCTGAGCTCACTTTTTTTTTATTAAGCGCACGCCCCCCGCCCTGCGGCCGGTGTGTGACCAAGCAGGAGCGCCCGCAGGGCATGCGTCGGTAGTGGTCGTTGCCTTTCGTTTCGAGAGTTTCGTTGACCGCAACCACTTCTGTTACGCCGGGGATTGGTGCTTGCACCTCCAGCCTTTCGCTGTCGCGAAGTCGAGGTTCAACCTTCGAAAACATCGGAGCGCGAAGTTCGATTCTGTCAACAGCAGTACGCGCCAAGAATGTACGACCCCCTAGTCGTGTGCTCTCGCCGCCACCCCGCGTGTCCGTAGATGTAGTGCTGTAGCGTGCTTGTGTGCTGCATTCCCGTTGTAGCCAGTTTTTATTTTTTCGTCGTGTGGTTGAGCCTGTTTGCTTGTCGCCGCTCCGGTTGTTGCCCCCCATCACGGTGTCCATACGCACATTAACCGTCCTCCTCCTCCTCCTCCTCCTCCTTCTCCTCCTCCGATGATGATGATGATGATGATGATGATGATGCATGCATGCATGCATGCATGTACAGGGCAGCAACTTCTGTCCAGCAGCGGCGGCGGCGGCGGCGGTGCACGACTCCAAGCGACGGATGAGCCCGCCGCCGCCCTCGGGGTTTCCAAAGGAGGCGTCCCTCTCTCGGAGGGGGGCGTTCCTCCCTTGCCCGCTGCCGGGCTTGGCGGCATGCCGTCCGCGTCGGCGTCTCCGTCGAACAGCGGCGGCGCCGGTGGCGGTGGCGGCTTCGCAGAGGGGGGCGCCGGGCAGCCGGTGCAGCTCATGGCGGTCGCGGAGCTCGAAAGGAGGTATGTAGGTGGAGCAGATGTACGCGGTCTTGTAACACGTTTTTTCGTCGCACGTGTGCAGCGGCACAGTGTGTGGACTGCCTGCCTGGCGTGGCGGAGCGGTAAGGCTCCCGCCTCTCTGGCTGCTGTTGTGTTGGTGTTGGTGTCTGTGGTCGTGTTGTGGGTTTTATATTCTGTTTGTCGTGTTGATGTTTGGCGGTAGTGGCGGTGTTGGTGATGCTGATGCTTGGATGTGTCTGTTTTGTCACAAATGCGTGCTAGATGCATTGTTGTCCGGAGTGTAGCTAGGAGTTCTACACGATGCCTGGCCCAATGTCAGCTCCAATGCGTCACGGAGGTGGTTGACTTCCCCCCCCCCCGTAGTACCCTCCCCCCCGGCGTTTGCCATCGGGGTTGGGTTTTCGTCGCTGGCAACGACGTTGTGAAACAAGCCAATTCACTTCGTGAACTCGGCAACCAGGTTACCGTTTTTTTTTTGTTTTACCTCTTTTTTTTTTTTGGCGGTAACCACAATGGTGGTCGAGTAGATCATGTTGTGCGGGGGTTGGAGAACCTTCACTCCGCGCAAGGGGGATGATCGCACCACGTTGTGTTAAAATGGTCAAGCACCCTCGAGGCAGTTACACA